TTTATTTAAATATTTTAGCATTTTAAAAAAGTAAATCAGAGCTAAAAAAGTGCAAAAACGCAGGCAAATTTGCCTGCTTGGTCTACATATTAAGGGATAATATATATATATATTTAAAGAATGTAGCTATCGCCAACACACTTAGTATCACTACCAAAATCATGTACATATGTAATCAGTTTTTAAAAAATAATTGGAGCTTTTTAAATTATTTATTAGAATTTACTTAATTAACACTGCAAACTCTAAGACAAATTACTTTTAATTCAAGCATTTAAATGCATTTATATTCAATTTAAATTTTTTTAATACACGTATAAAACGTATAAAACTTTAAATGTTACCAGTAAATGTTCTTTTGTTATGATTACTTCAAGTTTTGGAAGTTTTTTGCTTGTTCGAAATCTTTAATGCTATTCGCCATTTTTTGGATAGGTTTAAAGTTTGATTCAATGTTTCGAACCTATTTTTTTTGTTTGGAAAGATTATTAAATTTTTCAAAACAATCAAGCGCCAAAAGCATAATAAAATATATTTATATAAATATGAAAACAGGGGGATAAAAAAAAAATAACTTTATACCTCATGAGTTTTTTGTGCTTTCTTAAAATTTTAGATTTGGATTCACTATCTTCAGTACTCGATTCTTCAATAATGGTTCCTTCTCAGTCATATATAGCTATAGGTAGAATCTGTGAATAACCATGATTAAAAATGAATATATGAATTTTCTGGTACATAAATTCGTAAATATTCAATAAATATTAATTACATGAAATTCGTGAATAATCGTCGTGAATAATCTATTTAGTGAATAGCCATATTGGGTGTTCTCAAGCACCTTAATCAATGAGGCAAAAGCATCAGGAAATAAAATTTATTTAGTGGAAAATAGTTTAAATTAATCAAGCGTGTTTATCATTAAGATAAATATGCATAATTGATAAAGCTTTATTATGTAAATATGACATTTTTATTAATAATAAAAAAGATTGAAATGAAAGTGTCATTTAAATCAACAAACTTTTTACAACAAACCTCCTTTTTTTTATACCTGTCTTTAAAATTTTACAATCAATTGAGTTTTCAAAAAGACCGCACAAGTAACATTGCCATGGATTATTACATTTAGCGACGAATTATTATTTTACTTTCTTGTACTAAATGTTTTTATGAATTCTAAAAAAAACCGGAGGCTCAATATGTTTTGTTGTTTAATACTTCAGAAGAGGTAGAATCTGTATCTGAAGCTGAATTATCATTAGAAACTGGTTCCAAATTATTATTAAATTATTATGTTTCTAAATAAATATGCGAATAACACCTCTTTGTATTTAATAGCAGCTTTATTTGCAACTAATGGATTCATAAAAAATGGAGAGGCAGGATATTATTGTTGGAATAACATATTATAATTGGTGAAGTTGGTAAACAGAGCAACAAAAGCTGCTGAATTGATGCTTCACCAGAATATTTTCGTTTAACGGTTGGTTTTATTTTTATTTTTATTTTTGATGAATAATAAAAGAACCGCTCAAATACTGTTTGCAATGTTTATTTCAATTGATTCTATTAAATGAGCACCATTACAATCACTAATTAATCACATTGAAGATGATGCTTGAGAAGATTTCAATTATGTCATAAATTGCATATTCGAATTCTAAACAAAAATTTTATATAAATTTATTTTGCTTGAGTACCATTGTGATCACTTGCTAATCACATCTAGATTGATGCTTGAGAACACTCTTAGATGTTTAAGAACGGCCTTAATGTTAAAAATTTGAAGTGGAATTAGTAGATCAAATAAATAAATAGAATTCTTTTTATTTTCTTTCTTTAATGTTAATGTTATGCGCAAATAAAGAAAATGTCGACAAATAATTTTAAAACCCGATTCTATAGCTGGTTACACAGGTAAATATAAATAGTGATTATGGTAATCGCTTTTCAATTTTTTTTTGATTTAAGATCTTTGAAATCTCATACTATTAAGTGAAAAAAAATTTTCTTGTTAATAATTTCGTGTTTATTTTTTTCTTTTAGACATTTTTTTTAGATCATCATAGGTATTGTTAGTGCTTTTTGGTTATTGCTAGTGTCGTTAATATTTGTCATTGTTGGTGTCATTGTTGGTGTCATTGCTGATGTCATTACTGGTGCCTTTTAACTGTCATTGGTGTCGTTGTTGTTTATGGCATGTTCTTTTTAATAAGCCAGTGTGGCTATTTCATTGGTGTTGTCTGATTTTGTTTGGCAGTTTCATCGTTTGCTGTTTTATTGGTGTAGTTATTCATCAATTACTGGCATTTTCACATATTCATCTTTGGCTTTGCTGGTATTTTAGTACCTTTATATGCATTACTAATACTCTTCTTTTTTTTTTTTACAAAAGTACCCTCGCCATTGGTGTTATTGTTATTAGCATGATGTCATTTTTTGAGTGGTGAATTTCTTCATCATTGGTGTCATCGTTATTTGAGCCGCGAAATACCATTGTCAGTGTTGTTAGTTTTTTTATTTTGCTCTTGTTGGCACTTTCATCATTTGTTGGTGTTTGTTTTTTAGTGGTGTAGCTATTCACATTGTCGTGTTGTCGTTTTTGACTTTTCTGGTGTTATGTTTTGGGTATTTTAAGCATATATACTTCTATTTCAGTTTGTTTTTTTTATTGCTCATTACTAATACACTTCTTTTTTTTTACAAAAATACTCACGCCATTGGTGTCATTGTTATTAGTATGATGTATATTTTCATTGTGTCGTCGTTATTAGAGCCGCGAAATACTATTGTCGGTGTTGTAAGTGCTGTTATTTCACTCTTGTTGGCACTTTCATTCTTTGTTGGTGTTTGTTTTTTATTGGTATAGTTATTCATATCGGTTTGCTGGTGTCGTTGTTTATTCATCTTCGACTTTGCTGATATTGTTATGTTTTGGTATTTTAAATACATATACTTCTATTTTGGTTTGTTTTTTTCTTTGCACGAATTTTGTATGCATTACTAATACTCTTTCTTTTATGAAAATACCCTTGACGTTGGTGTTATCATTATTGGTGTGATGTATATTTTTGTCGCTAGTTTCGTTGTTATTGGAGTGATGAATACTTTCGTCATTGGTGTTGTTGTTATTGAAGCTATGAAATACTATTGTTGGTGTTGTTAGTGTTTTTGTTTCACTTTTGTTGGCAGTTTCATTGTTTGTTTTTTTATTGGTGTAGTATTACTTATTCATTTTTAACTTTGCTGGTGTTATGCTTTGGGTGTGGTGTATATTTTCATTACTAGTATTATTATTATTGAAGTGTGAAATACTTATAGTATTAGTTAAAGTTAGGGTAGTTTTGGTAGTTTTTAGATAGTTAGAGTTGGTTAGTATTAGTAGTATAATATAACTGTTGTATATTATATATATTATGTAATAAATATATAATTATCTAGTTATTGACTATATATAGTTATAGTTATATATATATATTAGTGATACCAAAATCTAGCGTATGAATAGTGAAGAAACCCATAGGGTTAGAGGGCTGATGGAGGTAGTTAGAACCAGATGGTTTAAATGGGTACCCCCCTAGTTGGGGTG